CCTCAGGGAGAGGGAGTCACTCTCGTGAGGGAAATTTGGGTGGGGGTCCCCAGTTCAGGGGGTTCTGAAAGGGGTCTTCACCTCAGGGAAGGGGGACACCTCCGTGAGGGAATTTTCGAGGGGGCGTCAACTCCGTGAGGGGAATTTGAGGGAAATCTCCCTCGTGAGGGGAATTTGCGGGGGGAGGTCGTCGCTTCAGGGAAGGAGGGACCCCCAGTTGAGGATTTGGGTGGGGGGTCACTCCCCAGCAGAAAGGGGCTCAAAACTGGGAAGGTTTTTCGGGTGTCAGAAGTGGGTTTTTTGCGGTCCAAACTTGGTTTGGGGTCAGGACCTTGGAGTTTGAGGTCTATAACTTGGGGTTTGGTGAGTTGATCACTGATGAATAACCAATGATTGATCAATATCCCCTAGGAAGGGTGTACTACTTCAATCACCTAATGGCGGGGTCAATCCTGGGGTGTGTAATCTGGTTTTTGTATCTTTAAGCTGTTTTTTCGCTGCCAGTCTCTAACCAATCAGTGATCAATAGACAATAATTGGTCAATAACTCTGTGGGATGGTTTTACTGCTTCAACCACTTGATGAACATGAGTCTGTGGTGTCCATCAATGGATTTTTGGGGTCTTTAATCTGGTTTTTGGGTTCTATAACCTCCATGTTCAGCATCAATTAGTAACTAATCACTGATCAATAACTGATATTTGATCAATAGCTCCCTAGGGAGGCTGTACTATTTCAACCACCAGACAAGCGCCAGCCAGCAGGGTCATTGAGCTGGGATTTGATGTGAATAACCTGTTTTTTCAGTGTAAATCAATACCTGATCACCAATAAATAACCAATAGGTGATCATAAACCCCATAGGATGCGTGTACTACTTCAACCACCTAGTGAATATGAGTCAGTGGGGTCAAGATTGGGGCCTGTTAGAGGGGTGTTGGTGCCAATAACCAGGATTTTTGATACCAATCAGTAACCGATCAGTAAACAATAACCAATAAGTGATCAATAACTGATCAATACCCCCTCAGGCCGGGTGTATTACTTTAACCACCTGACAAACGCCAGCCAATGGGAGCGGCCGAGCGGGGGCGCGCGGGCGGAGCCGGGGCGCGTGCGCTGCTCGCACCTGCTGGTCAAGCACAACCAATCGCGGCGGCCGAGCAGCTGGAGGCAGGAGCGCATCACCCGCTCCAAGGAGGAGGCGCTGGAGCTCATCAACGGCGAGTGCTGGGGATTTCCGGGAGTGCCGGGGGGTCTGGGAATTCCTGGGAATCCTGGGAATGCCAGGGGGTCTGGGAATGTCGGGGAATCCTGGAAATGCCGGGGGGATCCTGGGAATCGCAGCTGGAGGCAGGAGCGCATCACCCACTCCAAGGAGGAGGCGCTGGAGCTCATCAACAGCGAGTGCTGGGGATTCCTGGGAATTCCTGGGAATGCTGGGGAAAAAACCCCTGGGAATGGTAATTTGGGGAAAAAAAAAAGGTGGGAATGGTGATATTTTTTTTTGGAAGAAAACCTGCAGGGATGTTTGTTTGGGGTGGTTTTGAGGATGTTTTGGGGCTGTGTCTCCTTTCCTGTGGAATTTGCGGCATCCAGGGAATTTTGGGAGTGGTTTTGACCCTAAATTTGGGGTTTTTCCCATTTTTTTTTCAGGTTACATCCAGAAGATCAAATCAGGAGAGGAGGATTTTGAATCTTTGGCTTCGCAGTTCAGCGACTGCAGCTCAGCCAAGGCTGGGGGGGACCTGGGAGCATTTGGGAGAGGTGAGGGATTCATCCCAAAAAAACTCCAAATCCCTCAATTCCAGGGGATTCATCCCCAAAAAAACCCCAAATCCCTCAGTTCCACAGGATTCATCCCAATAAAACCCAAATCCATAGTTTTTTAGGGATTTATCCCTCCAAAAACCCCAAATCCCCCATAATTCCAACTGGAATCAACTCTCCCCCTTCAAATCCCTGATTTTTCTTTGGGAAACGCCCCAAATCCCAAATGTTTTATGAAATTTTGGGTGGTACTACCTCTTTTTTTAGGTTGAAACCTCCCAAAATGTGGGATTTTTTTCCCTTTATGACACAAAATTCCATCTGGCATCGATCCAGCAGGATAAACTCGCGGAATCAATCCCCCCTACCCCTTCCAAATCCCAGAGTTTTCTTTGGGAAGCACCCCGGATCCCAATTTTTTTAATGGAATTTCGGGTTGCAGGGCAGATGCAGTTGTTTTCCTCGGGAAGCACCCCGGATCCCAATTTTTTTTTGTGGAATTTCGGGTTGCAGGGCAGATGCAGAAGCCGTTCGAGGACGCCTCGTTCGCGCTGCGGGCTGGCGAGATGAGCGGCCCCGTGTTCACGGAATCCGGGATCCACATCATCCTCCGCACGGAGTGAAGTGCCTTGGGAGGGCGGGGCCTCCCGGGAATCCCGTGGGAACGGGCGGGAATCCACGGGGAGCCCGTGGGGATCCGTGGGAATCTATGGAGGCCCTCAGGAATCCATGGGGAAGCCACGGGAATTCACGGAAATCCTAGGGGATCCGTGGAGGTCTGTTGGGATCTGTAGAAATCTGTTAACGCCGCAGGAAGCCATGGGAATTCTCAGGAATCCACAGGAAGTCCACGGGAGTCCGTGGAATCCTCAGGAAATCCATGGGAATCTATGGAGATCCATGGGAATTCACAGGAATTCATGGAAGTCCATGGAGATCCATGGGAGTCTATGGGAATCCTCAGGAATTCGCGGGAACTCACGGAAATCCTCAGGAATTGATGGGAAACTATGGAAATCCTCAGGAATCCATGGGAATTCATGGAGGTCCATGGGAATCCTCAGGAATCCACAGGAAATCCATGGAATCCACGGGAATCCACGGAAATCCATGGGAATCCCGCCCCGCACTCCCCACCACCAACTCCAGATCCCACAACTCCTCCATTATTCCCTCCTGGGTGGGAGCAAAACCAGAGAATTCCTGCGGTTTTTGGGAATGTTGGGTCAGCTGGAGCCGGCTCCTGGTGGTCCCTCGGTGGTGGTGGTGATAATGGTAACGATGGCGATGGCCAGCAGTGACAGTGACAGCGAGGACAGTGACCAGAGTGACAGTGACAACAAGGACAATGACAATGACCAACAGTAGTGATGGTGATGATGACCATGACCAACAGTGGTGACCATGACCAGCAACCAATGATGGTGACAACAACAATGACAATGACCAGTGGTTGTGTCAATGGCCATGATAATGGTGGTAGTGATGACAACGACCATGACCAATGGTGGTGACAATGCCCAATGAAGGTGACAATGACCAACGATGGTGACCATGACCATGAGCAACAACCAGCAAAGGTGACAATGACAATGACACCAGTAGAAACCGATGAGAGTGACACTGATGACAACTATACCGATGATGACGACGCCACCACCGAAGGTGCTGTGGCCAGTGCCAGGCCAGGCCCCTCCACCACCCCCTGCATGTTTATTTAACTCATTCCTGCTCTTTTCTCACCAAAAAACGCCCCCGATCCGAAGGCTCCGCTTGATTCAAGCCATTAATTAATAATTACTTGTTAATAAATAGCAAAGATGAGGCAGCTCCCATGGGGTCCCTCCACAGTGTCCGTCCGGATTATACTGGGAATTTCCCGGCACCATCGCTTGGACTTCAAAAAAAACCGCCGGATTTTTGGGGTAAATTCACGGGAAATTGGGAAAAAGTGGCTGGAGTTCCGTTTTCCCGCCCTTTCGGAACCACAGGTTTTCAGTTTGGGGTGAAAAAAAGTTGGATTTGGGGAGGTTTTTTCCGAGATTTTTCAGTTCTGCTGTTGTTTCTGCTTCGTTCAGTGGGAAAAAAACAGGAAAAATCCCAAAAATCCCAGCTTGGATCTGTGCAAAAATTCCCAAAAAAGCTGTAAAGCCCCGGCTCTTTTCCTGCAGAAATAAATCCCCCTCCAGTGGAATTTCTGGTAATTCTGGGTCTTTCTTTCTCCCTCTTTTTTTTTTTTTTTTTTTTAATAAATTGGAATATTTTGTTTGGGGTTTTTTTTTTTGTTTTTTGGTGGGATTTGGAGCTTAAAATGGATGGAAAACGGCCTAAAATTGGGAATTTTGGGATTTATTTAATAGGAAAATGGGATTTATTAATAGGATATAATTGGATTTGTTAATAGGGAAAAACTGAAGTTATTTCATAGGGAATGTGAGATTTATTAATAGGAAATACAAGGTTAATGGGAAATATGGGATTTATCAATAGGGAATATAGGATTTAATGAATAGGGAATGGATTTATTTAATGGGGAATATGGGATTTAGTTAATGGGGGATGTAGGGAGTGGTTCCAGGGGGTACTGGAGACCCCCTTAAAACTCCCCCAAATCCCCCTAAAATCCCCCAAATCCTCCCCAAATTCCCCATAAATCCCAAAAAAACCCCAAATCCCCCAAATCCCTAAACCCCCCGTCCAAAAAACCACAAGTACTTTTTAATTTCCCCCAAATCCCCCCCAAAATCCTCCCTAATCCAAAAAACCCTCCAGATCAAAGGGATTTGGGGGAAGTTTGGGGGGAATTTAGGGGGATTTGGGGTTTTTCAGAGGGCGATTTGAGGTTGGGGGGGCGTGGGGCAGAGTTTGGGGGGGATTTGGGGTTTTTTAGGGGTTTTGGGTTTTGTTGGGAAGGGGTTTGGGGGGGATTGGGGAGGATTTGGGGTTTTTGGGGAGGAGGATTTCAGAGTGGGGGGGTGTGGAGCAGATTTGGGGGAGTTTTTAGGTGATTTCGGGGAATTTTGGGGGATTTAGGGGGGATTTGCGGAATTTGAGGGCCATTTCGGAGAATTTTGGGGGATTTGGACGGAGGGGAAGAAAGGAGGGGGTGGGGACCACGAGACCACGCCCCACCCCCCAAACATTCCCCCCCAAAATCCCCCAAATCCCCACAAAATCATAAAAAAACAGCAACGA